GTAGGGAAACAGTGAGGTACATGAACAGGGTGTCTAATCAGAAGCATGTGAGCAGTACTGCTGAAGAAGAGCAGGAATATTCACGAGCTTCGCTTTAGACTTGCATTTAATTACCTTGCTAATCAGGGCTAAGTTCCCAACCAAAAGTGATGCATCATCTGCAAGGATAACCTGATTGTTCCATGGGTAATGTAAAATTATTTCTCTCTTTATGCATCACTTTAAGATAAGCTGCATGAAGTGGAATGAATTATTATAGTCAAAAATAAAATGCTGAGTGATAGCTGTGTTGAAATGTACTAATGCTATTTGGAAGAGATTTGGGATTACAGTTCTGTTTCTTTCTTATGGTGGTTTATACACGTTTTTGTTCCAAGCAATTTTGGCAAAAGGTGATAGAAGATTCTTGAGTTCTTTAATTCTTGGATAGCCAAACCAGTTGTATGTAATGACTCTTTGAATTTATTAGCTTATGCTATTGAAGAAAAGTCTGGGTTTATGTACCGAGGCAGGCAAAAGTAACAAAGACAATGAAAACCAACCAAAATTATTTATCAGACTTTGTAAAATCAGCTTTAAAAGTCAACTGTCAACAACTAGCTAATACTTGTGTGTGTGAACACATATGAGCATATATATAACTTGTATCTTACACACATAATTATACATATAACCTTTTCTGTTTAAAAAGAAGTGTTGTTATATGAACTTCCCTTGTACTGACACTCTAAAGCCATCACTGGAAAAGCAGTGCTGCTGAGCTGAGCCCTGATGTAAGTAGTGGTGAATTTGTTAACTTCGAAGGAGAGCTGTGATATGTAACGAGCCCCATGACTAGCATAATTTACCAGCATGTAGTTCTGCTTTTGCATATCTGTAATGCCATTGATTTAAAAAAGGTTACAGGGATGTAAATTTGGACTCACATAGTGATGAATCAGCCAGCTTCATCATCATTATGTATTTATTTATCCTGTGTCAAAGCAAGTTGCTTTTGCCTTTTTCCAAATGAAACTAATCTATATGTGCAATTTCTCTATTTTGTTTTCTTGCCTAAATGGACACTGGGGGGGTTGTCTTTTTTTTTTTTCTCAGTCCAAAATATTGGGGTAGGATTTTTTTGGAGGAGTGAATTACAAAGATATAGCCTGAATGCAAGATGGTAGGTCAGCCCACAGTGTTCCTGTTACTTGCTCCATTCTGTGGCTGCATGCAGGTTTTTTGGTGGGGTTATTTTTTTGATGGTTGAAGGATTTACATATTGTGGCTCTAAAGGTGACACTGTACCAGCCGTCTGTACCTGTTGCTTAGGTTGCTCGCTATGCAGCCCTGTCGTAAGGTATGTATGAGGCACCTCAGAGTGCAGGGGACATGTCGACCTGCCTCTCTTAATTTTGGGAGAGTATGTCTAATGGTATAAACTGGCGGAGCTTCATCAGCCTCGGTGGTTCAATCTGATTTTCTGTCAGTTAACATGTATTTCCTGACTTGAAGCATGGGCACAGTCAGGCCCAGTGGAAGGTCTGGAGGTCACTGCAGCCGCATGTTTCACCTGGAATAATAAAAAAAAAAGCTGTTGGTGAGGTTGCTGTTTTATCCATCTCAGGACAAAAACTTTGTAGGAGGTCAGTAAACAAGTAGGAGGAGGCTAACTTTGGACTCTGGAATGAATTTCACCCCAAGTCTGGGGTTTTCTGTCTCTCCCCACCCCTTTTACAGTGAAACCTTGGAGTGATTACGTTGATTTTTCTCATTCATTTGCTCTTGTCCCTTAGGTGAAAAGTTCATGAGATTTGGCTATCCAGATATTCCCTTTGATATGAACCTAACCTATGAGAAGGAGGCTGAGCTGATGCAGTCTCACATGATGGACCAAGCCATCAACAATGCAATCACCTACCTTGGAGCTGAGGCACTTCACCCCCTGATGCAGCACACACCAAGCACAATTGCAGAGGTGGCCCCGGTCATCAGCTCAGCTTACGCTCAGGTCTATCATCCTAACAGGATAGAAAGGCCCATTAGCAGGGAAACAGCTGACAGTCACGAGAACAACATGGATGGCCCAATCTCCCTCATCAGACCAAAGAGTCGAACCCAGGATAGAGAGGGCTCCCCCAGCAATAGCTGCCTGGATTCTACTGACTCAGAGAGCAGCCACGAAGACCGCCAGTCCTACCAAGGAAACTCTGCCTTAAATCCCAAGAGAAAGCCAAGCCCAGCTTATATGAAGGAGGACACCAAGGCTTTGGATGCCACAAAAGCTTCTAAGGGCTCTTTAAAGGATATCTACAAGGTCATCAACGGAGAAGGGGAGCAGATTAGGGCTTTCAAGTGCGAGCACTGTCGCGTCCTTTTCCTGGACCATGTCATGTACACCATCCACATGGGCTGCCATGGCTACCGGGACCCGCTAGAGTGCAACATCTGTGGCTACCGAAGCCAGGACCGCTATGAGTTCTCATCGCACATAGTCCGAGGGGAGCACACATTCCACTAGGCCTTCTCATCCAAAGGGGACTCGTATGAAGTAGAAGAACTGCACATGAAGAAATACTGCACTTACAATCCCACTTTTCCTCAGACATTAAGACGCCTATTTTGTTGTTGTTGCTGTTGTTGTTGTTGCTGTTGTTTAATTATTATTATTAACCTTATTTTTTGTGGACCCAACCTCATTTGCTCTGCCCAGCTTAAGAATGGAAAGAGAGAAGGGAAGGGACAAAAGAGGGGTTTGTTGTTGCTGTCACTTTTTGGCGAGTGACCTGCCTCGCATTCTGTGGGAATTGAAAGGCAGTCCATTTCTGTCTCAACCAGCTGTATATCGTGTCCTGTTTTGGGATATCGCTCAACCCTGCTAGGTGCTTTAAAGTCCTGATGAGATGCCACTCATTTACAATTTCAGATGAATAGTAGAAACATTTCAGAGGAGAGCCTTTTTCAAACATGTAGATAAGGTGCAGGCTTTCGGTGGCTGGAGGAGGAGGGGGGAACTTTATTCTGCAGAATGAACAATTATTTTTAAAGCAAAACTGTTAGGGTTTTAGGAGCTTGAATCAAAGTCGATATTCCTTTCAAAATTACTTTCTAGGGTGAGCTGTTTTTCTGGGTTCAGTGTGTATTGCCCCTCTACAACATAAAAAAGAAAAAAAAAGTATGTCTTAACACTGTACCACATTACAGCAGTTTAGTTTCATAAGTCTGAGGGCCTTCTGTGGTAAGTCTGAGGCTTTGTATTTTTATTTTCCCTAACTTATGAAGCACCTTTTTTAGAATTGTTGATTTGCTGTTACTCCATGCCTACGTCTTGACTCACTGGCTTCTTAGAGACCCTTGGGAGCCTTACTTATTGAGTTGCACCCTACGTTTTAAGAAATAACATTTAGAAATAACATTTAAACTTGCTTCTAGGACAGTAAGTGGCCTAGGAGTGGGTGAGAGAGTCTGTAGTTTACTCAAGAGGTTCTGCTGCTCCTCTGAAATAATTTTGTTTTACGGATTTTAAAATGACAAAAGTACGAGTAGCAAAGTGTTCTTTAAATATAATTATATATCTACATATACCTATATAAATACTTTCTCAGTCTGTTATCACAGTGTTAACCTCTTGGCAACAGCCTAAACTAAGACTTGCTGCTAGGAAAACGCTAGGAGCCAGGTCCTCAGCCAGCATTAATCCTCTTAGCTCCATTGAATTTAATGGAACTATCCCAACCACTTCAGCTACATCAGGATCCGAGCCTTGACCATTTTTTCTCTTGTTGACATCTTATTTTCTAATTTGCTGAACCAGCATCTTCCTTCTGGTTTTGAGTCATCAATTCTGCTTTAATTTAGGGGTAGAAGTGTTTGCAGATTTTGCTGGATAGCCTTTGATCTTGGAGAGCACAGAACCCCTGCAGACAAACAGATCACATATGATCGTCCCTACTTCTTTAGAAAGTGATACATGGAGATGTAGGTGCTGTGCTTTGATTTGGATTTGCAGATTTCACTTTTATTCCTAATTTATTAATTCCACTCCAGGCAATACAAATGGAGAAACAAACTCCAGAGCAAGTCCTTGAACTACAGACCGGACAAGAGAAAAAAAACACCAATCTGTTTTGTTTCCTTTCCTTCTCTCCCAATAAATAACAAAGCCAGCAACCACCCAGCAAGTTGCAGGTTGCATCAGTAAAAACTGGGCTTAAACCTACATGACAGATTGCCATTGAAACCCAACTGTTTGTACCAATCACAATTGAAATGTTGTTTGGCAACAAGAGCACAGCTTGAGAGTGGAAAGATCTGCATGGGTTTCACCCCCTCTGTGCACGTGGTCTCCACGCGCTCGGTGAGACCTTTTCCAAAGTATAAAGTTGCTAAAGTATAAAAGAGAGAGCAAGATCAGGACATAATGAATTCCCATCTGCACACTTCAATCTGCGTACTTGATGCATATGCCAGTTTGCTGTTCGTTTTGAGGGTACTGGGGTTTTTTAATTCTTCTCTTCCTAGACCTGGAGCATTTGAAAGTAGGAGCTGAGTGGTATTGATTGAAATCTTTTTATGGTGACATTCTTGGCAGCTAGAACCTGTGTTTAGAAAGGATACAGTAGATCATGGCCAGATTACCTGATGACTGCTTCCCAGCACTGAAATGCTATTAAGTAGGAGCTGGTAAAGTCTTGCAGTAGCCTATTAATTATAATACAATATGGAGAGAAATGTCATCTTGTGTAATGTGAGAGCTATCAAGGCTGGGAATATATGGCTTTGGAGAGACAGATTTAAAGACCTATTCCCAACATTGTTCTTAAAGTTGTTGGGTTCCTCCCCCTCCTTCTTTCTTCATCCTAATGCAGAGGAAACTCAGGCAAATTAACTGCTGCTGTCCTCCAGACCATTCTCATTTTCTAGTGCTTGATGCAATTAAGGGAGTTTGTGAAGGAGAAAACCAGGGAGATGCTGGGGGGGTACCACTTCTATTCCATATAGCTGATTCTCTGCAGCTATGAAGATTGACTTAAGAGATGGCCAGCCATGTTCTGCATCAGGATGTGCTTGGAAATTCAGAAAACAGGGCTTGCTTTTACAGCATGTTGCCCCCAAAAAAGCGGTTGTGATTTCTGCTGAAGCAGCAAAGGTCTTTTAAGAATGATGGGCAAAGGGAAAGGTGCTGGGCCTGAAGGTCATGAGGCTTGCATGGACCTCCAGAAGACAGATGCCTGAGCCGGAGAAAAGGGTTGCTGGCAATCCCTTTCAGTTTCTGGGGGACAACACTCCGTTCTCCCCTCAGTAGTCAGTGGAAAGAACGTGAGCTATCGTTTCTTGGAATAGTTAGCACTGGGGAAAGTGTTAAAAAAAACTGCTTGTGTTTGGGAAAGGCAGAGAATCTCTTGTGTATCCACAAATAAGTTCGCTGCATTTATATCTGCAGTTTGTTAGTGTACACTTTCATTCATTGAGGATTCATTGATACCCTCCTATAGTGTCTATTCTGTAGATGTTTAAAAGATCAGGCAGGGAGGCTCAGTGGTTTTGTAGCTGGCTTCAGTCAAGCCCAACTTCTTGTTCCAATGATAGCGTCCAAGATCTGTATGTGAGCCATGTCCTGGTATCACAGAAAGAGAGAACTGGGGAGGTGGAGGGGAGATGCTGGTTTAGTTATCTTCCAAAAAATGCTTTTTTTTGTAGAGCAAGAGGCTGGGGGGTTGCATTAATTTTTATTATCAATGTCCTTTTCTGAACACTCCTGAAGTTTTTCATCTTGGAGCTAGAAAAGAAGAAAGATTAAATTCTAGTTCAAATTTTGAACAAAGTTTTGGACTATCATTTATTTTGGCATTCACTTCCTACTAAAAATTATTGGAGTTTCCCCCTACACAGAAATGTGCAAAATGGGACCTCAGAGATTTTTTTTTTTTTTGCTTGCTCTCTGCAGATTTCTAAGAAAAGCTCTTGAGTTTTGTCAAGTTCATTAGTCATTCACAGTCTACTAGGAATTTCAGTAGATAATCCTTGGCCTGTGGATCCATTTGTTCTAAGTATTTGGTGTTGGAAATCAAACCTGGCTGATTTTTATTAGACTCTCTTGAAATTCTTGGAATCAGGTTTCCAGTTAAAAACATGCATTTGCAAATTTACAATTGGCTTCCTGTGAGCATTCCCCATTTTCATTAAAAAAAAAAAGCCATTTCTGCACACATCCCTGCCAGTAAACCCTTTTGCTTCTTTTTACATCAAAAATGGCAAGATTCTGACTCAATTTAGAGTGTTACAAGCCTATTAAATGAAATAGAAGTGTGACTGCTTATTCTGCTCTTGGTATGATCCATATTCTTGGAGCAAAGGGCATTATCTATATATCTGCTGTTATGGCAAATGAATTTTATAGCCACCTCTCTTTGCAAGCAGTCAGGAGTGCACATCAAAATATATAGCATTTTTCAGTAAAGCCAGCTCTTTACTCAGTAACTTATGGGATTAAAACAATTTTATTCTCCTTAAAAAGTGCTTCCATCTATGATGTGTTGTGAAAGGCGCCTAGGCGTTAACCTCTGTTGGTCTGTATTAGAGAGAAAGAATCTAAATTTGTTAATTGGCCTGATTTTTTTAATGGTAGTAGTTTCTACAATGTGAGGACACAGCTCACAAAATAGCTATGTGGAACTAAAGTATATTTAGTAAAAGGTGAAGAAATTCTCAATTTCAAGGGTTTCCAAATTTCTTTCTGTTTACAAGGGTATTCCTAAAACTGGGGCTGTCAGGCAGAGGAGGCAGCCAGGAATTGAACCAAACCCTTCAAAACTGGCCTTTAATGGGACAATTTTACTGTTGTCTAGGTCCTGAACTCGCTTTTTCATGTTTGCAAAAGAGTCCTATTGAAAGACACTCCTTCCTCCAGCAAGAAACTTTGGAGATAACTTAGGGAAAGGCGCTTATTTCAGCCAGGGACAGGAGTCGCAGTAATACAGTTCCTTTGCTAGATAGTATTTCTTTCTTTAACTCTTGCTGTTCATTATAGCATAATGAGGAGCGAGAAGGGAGGCTGCACTGATACCCGAGTCCCTTAAACTCAGTGTGGGATTTTAGGAAAAGTGTGATGATAGTCGGCTTTGACGCTAGAAATTTGCATCTTAGCTTGGCTTAGTATCACTTAAAAACAAAAATGGATGGTAGTAATGGCCTGCGGTCTAGGGCAGCTGGAGATTTTGAGAAAGTATATTTATATATACGGTATCATATAATTAGATATATGCTTTATTGTATATGTGCCTTTTTCAAATGCATTTTGGAAGTTCATGATGTCATTCATGATATCCTACCACATACCCTTTCAGAATGCACGACCAAAACCAACCCAAAGTAAACATCCCTTCTCCTACAGCACAGTGAGGCAGATCCCTCTCCCCTTCTGCACCTTCCGTGGCAGCTTGACCCGGAGAGAGGACCATCCTAGTACTTTGCTGTGAGATTTCCTGGAGTCAGCTGGCTTTTAGGAGTGGGAAGGGCTGAAAATTACCCTAGCAAAGTGCATTCCAGCTATCCAGCCAG